TCAGCCCTTGATCTGATTTTTATCCACTTTGTTGATGGTTTTCTGCTGGATTTTGTTCTACTAATGATCCAGTTTAAACCAAGCTAAAACTGTCAGATAGACATATTTGAATTTACACTAATTTGGTTTGTGGAGGCGCTGTTGATCCCCAGCTCCAGTGGATTTAAAACAAGCCCTTATCACCACCCTCCACCACCATGCTTTAAATCTGGAATTCTTTTGCTTATATAAATATATTTTTTTCTTTCCAAACACAAGCAGGAGTGTTACTGTTCAACATTTCCACTTCAGTTCCTTCTGTCTTGCATTGTCCTCGTATGTTCTTACTGAGATGATATTCTCCTAAAACTCTTTATTTTTTTTCAATGTAAAATAGTTTTGCCACACAATCTTTCCTGACTGATTTGCAGCACTTACGGCTTCTAAAAGGTCATTGCTCTAGTCGTTCTATACTCACCTGTAAGCTCCAGATCACCAAACAAACCGCCTGCTTTAATTATTGCCATCACATTTTCTACTGTCCCTTTCGAATCCTAAAGAAGCTGCAAATTGGAGAATTTGGAAAACTCTGGATTTATTAACAAATCTCAATGTGCTTAATTTCTCACCTTTCTTTTGGCTGTTTTGGATAGAAAACCTAAAGTAAAAAACATTTTGGTGGCTGTTTGCATGTTGCCAAGAAGACTTCCTCAAATATGTATTTTTTTTTCTCCCCTTTCTGCTCTTTTCTGGAAACATATGTTACAAACAGCAAAGTTTTTCTTCCCCATGACTGCATATTGGTGCAACACAGAGAAGACGGTGGTCTGAACACATAGATGCACACCAGGAACAAAAACCAGGGAGGTCCACAGAGATGAGGAGAGAGATAGTCAAACAATGAGAAATGAAATCAGACGACGCGGACAGTAAATTGGAGCATGAGCTAAAATAACACATTATTCTCAAGGCATGCATCAAAACACAGGAATATACACAGCGGCTGTATATTCTCTCCCAGTTAAACCACAAAGCCACACCAACGCCAGGCAACAGGGATGTAAAAGGTTTACATTTGGCAGAGAGAGAGCAGTACCTATTTATGACAGGGCTTTCACTGGATGGATCAACACACTCACAGGGAGGGAGGGAGGTCCCAGTCAGGCAGCCAGCCAATAGGAACAAGAGAGGGGAGAGGGATTGGTAAATGGGGGGACGGAGTGTGGCAGAGGGGCGGGGGGCGGAGGAGTTTGTATGCAGCTGAGTGGGGATCCAGGGAGCTGCACAGAGCTGGGCGCCATTTTTAAAATCAAAGTTTGTTTTTATACCTTAGTGAGCTGCAACAGGGTCACCTCTCATGAATCATGAAGAAGAAAAGCATTTAATGACTGAGACAGAGCAACATGTAAAGGACCTCATCAGCTGCCTTCAGCATTAATAATCAGTGCTTCAGGTCAGAGGTGATTTTAATCTAAACTGTAAACAGTTTGGCGAAGATATATAAGATTCCTGCAGTGAGGAAAGAGAATAAAAATGTCAGCAGCCAAACAAAATAACCCAAGGATAGGAGCGTTTGTTTTAGTTTTAAATATTGAATTATTTTAACAAATGGAAAGAAGAAATAGCAACAGTTTCACTACAACAGGCAAAAAAAGCCCACTATTTTTTCCACTAAGTTTAAAATGATGAAAAAGCTCTGAAATTTGACATGCATCTTAAAAAAAATTAAAGATAAGCAGCTGTGTAGAGTCAATTCTGTTCCAATATTGTTGCAGACAAAGAGAAAACCTCTTAATCAAAAACAGATTAAGATTACTGTTTTCTCTGATTTACCGGTATGCTGATATTTATTTTCCAGGTTTTTTATTCTAATTAAATCTTTTTTTTTTTTTTTTTGTAAATCTCTTTCAGCCTGCACATTTCAGATATTATTCTCTTTACTTCTGGGAACAGGCTTTTCTATGCGGCGAAGAAGCATTTCTATTGGTCTGCTGGATGCTAGATAACAATTTTGCTATTCAATGTTGGCGTGAAGATTTCCATTCACAAAGTGTCTTCTTTGATTCCAACAATAATGGAACAGAATTTTACTCCATAGGCCCTAATAAGACTAAGATCCAGACCAACAATGCAGCACAAAGAAACTGATGCAAACAGACAATGACGTCCACCCGTCCAGCACTCATTGCAGTGATTCCATAAAGAAAAAAATATTTTGTTAATCTCAGAATAAAAGGAAAGTGCAGACCAAAAAAAGTTGGATTCTACATATTCCTGAAAAATTTTTTTTTTTGAACTTCTCAAATTGCAAAAACAATTAAAAGATTCTCCAATGTTGTCAATTCCTCAACAAGAAAGAAGACAAACCTGAAAAGCTGAGCATGACCAGCTAAGCATATAAAAGCATTTGAATTTGCATAGATGTCAGATGTGTTTGCTGCAAGGAGAAACACAAAGAAACTAAACCATCAGCGTTCCTCCACCGTGCTTTACATCAGGTGCTTGTTTTCTGGGTACTTCAGCTGTAGTTCAGTCAGATAATTTTCTAATTACTGTAAAGATGACCTGCTGTCTGACATGAGTCGTGCTCCCTGTAAAATGATGAAGTCCAGGTTGTTTGGAATAGGGCTGCTGCTCTAAAAGCCCTTGCATGATGAATATGGAAACCTTTGAGCTTTTTGCTCATCTCTTTCCAGCTTGTTTTTGTGCTACTGTAAGACACCGAGCAGCTAACTGCATAAAACCCAGCAGTTACGGTGTGCTGAAGCAGCTTACTCACTTTGTTTAATAAATAAAGTGTGTTTGCACACAAAGTCAGATCATTACTAAGACAAACCCTGATTCACCTCATATTAGGAGCTGATATATAAAAGGGGGTTTGCTATATTTTTAACCATAACTCTACTTTGGTTCAAACTAAATCTTGCAACAACAAAAAAAACACTACTTGGCTGGCTTTTCATGTTTAGTTTTTTTTATATGATTTTGAACTATTATTGTGTTGTATGGATTTGCAGTGAGGAAAAATTATAGCAACGCTTACAGTCTATAAACAGGGAGGTTGAAAGGACTTTGGTCTTATTGCTTATGAACGTAATTTAACGATCAAGCAGACTCTCTTATCCAGATAGTAGAGAGGGCAGCGATAAGCCTGCTGGAAGAATCACATTTTGCACATGGTTTAATTATGAACAAGGTCCAAAGGCTGCAGGCATGACAGGCATCGCCACAACACTCTGCTCAACAACTTAGGATAAGGAAAATCAGCTGCTTCATTTTTAAGGCCTCCACCTTAAGACGAAAGGCCAGTCTTCACTGTCCAGGTTAGAATGAATCCGTTAGGCTATCTGCTGATAGAAAATAGGCTGCAGCTAAACTAGGATACAACACATTCATGCACATAAATGAGAGTGTTTTACAAACTTTTTCTGATCTTAAAAGGAACTAGAATAACAGGTTGGAGCCACAGGCTGCTGCATGGAAAACCAAGTGTAGAACAACAATACTCTTTTAAACAGAGGAAAACTCTGCGTTGGGATTTAAACCACAAAATTTCTGCTCATAAAAATACTTTTATGATCTTATAACATGCAAAATATCTGAAGCTCTTCAGCTATTTTATACATTTTTCACAAATTTAAATGTATTTTATTGGCATTCAATGTAATAATCCAAAACAAATTAGGTCATTATTGTTATATAAAACTAAATTGATAAATTATTTGTTTTTTACAAATTAAAGCCTTTTAACTGGCATTCGGACCCCTCTGCGCCTAAAACCTTAAAATAAAATCTGGGCCAGAAATATCTTCTAAAGACAGTTCTCCTTAAATGGTCTCCTCCTTATGTAGTTAAGCCTCATTATAAAATCTGCTGTGCTTTGAAGGCCCCAGAGGTTTGATGGAGGACAACAGAGAACAAACAGCATCAGGAAAACCAAGGAACACAGCAGACAAGTCAGGGAGAAAGATGATTATAGCGGGGTTAGGTTACCCAGCTTCATCACAAGCTTAGAGCATCATTTAGAGTGATGCGCCTCATCTGCCTAAAGGAAAGGATAAAGCTACAGAGACATGGCCATCCGCCGGAATCAACCCAGAACGAAGGCAAGAACTGCGTGAATCAGAAAGCCAGCCAAGAGGCCTGGAAACTAGGCAATCAAAAAAACTAAAAAGTAACAGAAAAATTCAAGAAGATGCTCCGCTCAAGAAGGAAGGGCAGTAAAACAGCAACATGGTGAGACATGGTAGTGGAGTCATCATGCTGTGGGGATGCGTTCCATCAGGAAGGACAAGGAAACTGGTCAGAGTTGGTCAACATCTCTGCCCTTGAACCATCGGGCAAAGGTCTGCGGAGGTGCGAACCTGCCAGCTCCGTGCAATAAAATAGTTGCTGTGTAAAAGATTTTTTTATAACACCTTGATTCACGAAGGCTTTTTCTAAAGCTTGTCTTGTTTCTTCTTGTCTCATTTTATTACTTAAAATCCCAACAAAAGTAAACAAAAAAATCCAGTTTGGTTACATGAAAAAATGTGGAAAAGTTCAAAGGTGCCAGACTGGCCTCCAGCGCTGAAGTATCTCAGGAGCCTCTAAGCCAGAAACGACAGAAATAACTCAAGTGGAAACTTCTCAGCTTTAAATAGCATGGAGTGTAGACATTTTATCTCAAGTGGGTCCAGTGGAAATAAAAACCCTTTATCCGTCCGTCAGGACCGAATATCTTTGGTTTAATGCGCTCCATTCAACCGCTGTCACTTATGAACAGCATCAAACTAACATTTCAGGATCCTGTCTTTATTTTCCATAATCACAGCTTTAAACTTTAAATATATTCGGTGGATTTAAGTGGAATGGCTCAACCCATGCATCTGCACCCAAGTTGACAAGCTGAGAAATTAACAGTTTTTTAAATAATTTATAGCAAAATGTTTCATCTTCGGTCTAAAATAACTAAAAATCACATTAGAGTAAAGAAAGACCAGACAGCATAGAAAGCGTGTGCACAGCAGGGAGAGGCGTACCTTAAAGGCATACTTGCGGCTGATGTGATCTTCGGGTCCCACGGGTGAAATGACATAGCTGGGCAGAGGAATACTGCCCAACACCGATTCCTCTCTGCTGTCTGCGGACAGAGAAAGAGAGAGGGAATGGAGGGAGGGGCAGGATAATCAGGGCGGGGTAGGTGAGGAAAAACAGCCATAAAGATAGAGAGGAAAGGAAGGGCCAATAAAATAAGTATCACTCATCACCCACTAATTTCAGCCCTGCCTGCCACCAGTATCATAACACTCACATGCTGTCTCGGCTTGGACGGCGATGTGCCAGAAGCTAAATGAGCAGCAGAGTAAACGCCGCCGGCTCCAGCTGGCAGCCTGCTACTTCCCCTCGCTGACATCACCCCAAACGCACGTTTATCTTTCTATATTAGTAAGGACCGTGACTGACAACATCCAGATCCTGACCTTTCACCCTCAGTTAGTCTGAACGCTTAAAGCTGCTCATTGAAAAGTAAAACAGCCCTCTAGGTTTACACAACCCTGAACATTTACCTTCCACCAATACTGTCTCAGAAAATTACAACATGGAGGGTGTTTAATGATTAATTCATGATATAAAAAGGTGTGCGTGCCACATGTTGGTGACTCTAAGTGTTTGGACGGGAGGTGATAAGTGACGCCGTGGATTTAAGGGTCAGTTAGTTAAAAATAAAACAAGGGTCTTTGGAGGAGGCATTCCGTAAATGGTGGACAGGATGCCATGCCGTGTCTTTGCTTACTGGAGCACCACCTTCCACACATGGAGTAATGCTGAGCTGGTCAGAGTTCAATTACATACACACATTACAAGCTGGAGTTTGAATAAAGTCCGACAAAAAGCTGGACTTTATTGTGACATGAGTGGAAAAATGTGTTTCTTTTTTAAAAATCACCTCTGAGTCACTAAGTAAAAACTGCAGAAAAAGTTTCAATGCATTTAGAGTATGGTTCAAAAAGGTTTGTACAACTAATGGCTTAAGTTGTGTGTTCTTCACAAAGCACAAAGTCCTGAGGTAAAGCATCCCTGTAGCATGATGCTGCCACCACTATGTTTTCTAGTGTTACAGACAAAATAATATTTGGAGTTCTGGCAAAAAAGTTGCTTTTTGTTCTGGCTTTTAGCTGTCCTGACAGACTGAGCTGTGCCTCTCAGCAGCTCCTCCAGGGTAACCATGGATATTCCCCTGATTAGTCCTGTCAGATTAGCAGGTGGACGGCCATGTCTTTGCCGGTGTAAAACTGTCCCATACTGTTGATTTCAGGATGAGGGATTAACACTCTGAAACAGGCTGGACCAATCACAGCGCGGGAGGCGGGCCCATGATGCAACAACGCTTTTCTGTAACCACAACAGTCAAGATAACAGAGCAATGTTTTATTGATGCCCTTATTGTTATATTAGAGCTGTTTGGATTAGTGCTGCAACTAATTATTTTGCAAATTGAGTATTTTCTTGATTAATCGACTTCTAATCAGAAGGCAAAAGGTTCCTTAAAGAAGATCTTTTACAGAATTAAACCAGGTGAAACTAAAACATTTCCACTTGAGTGGTTCTGGATAGAGCAGATTCATAGACGAAAACATTTTCTGTCTTACATGCAAAACTTTTATACATTTTTTTACAATCTTGGTATAATTCCTGTTCTAAGTGTGTCGCTCTGTCAGCCTAAGGCATGTTTTAAAGTCTCCACACTCCAGTTAATTGATTACTAAATTAGTAGACGATTATTTCAATAATCGATTAATCTTGATTACCAGTAATCTGATTTATTGTTTTAGACCAAGTTTGGATTATTACATTTTAAACAACTGGCTGCTTTCAGATGTTTTCTTTGAACAAAAATATGTTTTTGTTTCACATCAGTAGTTCTAAACTTCTTCTGCAGATTCTTGAGTCCTGCCTTTGAAATCAGGCTCTACTCCCTTCCTTTCCAGACTGATGTGCAGTGAAAATGAGTCTGGCTGGCGAGGCGAAGAAATGAATTTGAGAGTTGCTGTATGAGAGTTATTCTTTTTCAGCTGTATTAACAGCAGTGATGAATTCTGTAACATTAATACAAAACATCAGATAATATTGGAACAATAACACTTTGACGGACATCAGTTTGGTGATTTAAAGCTACAGTGTGTAATTTTCAGCGACATCTAACGTCCAGACTGCAGACCGCAGCAAC